CAGGATGGAAATGGATTGGATGTATCTGCTGCTCTTGTCCTTCTAGATGGAAGTGGTCGTGGGTTTGGAAGGTGCTGTCTAAGGCTCTTTGGTGAATTTCTGCAATGCATCTTGTAGATGGTACTGAGCATCAGTCGAGGGAGTGAATGCTTGTGGATGTGATCCAAATCAAGTGAGCTGCTTTGTCCTGGTTGATTTCAAGTTTATTAAGTGTTGTTGGAGCTGCATACATCCAGGTAAGTGGGGAGTATTCTGTCACACACCTGAGTGATGCCTTGTAGATGATGGACAGACTTTGGGAGTAAGGAGGTGAGTTACTTGCTGAAGTGTTCCTAGCTTCTGACCTGCTCTTGTAGCCACTGCGTTTACATGTTTAGTTCAGTTTCTGGTCAATGATAACCCCAAGGATGTTGATAGTGGAGGATTCAGTGATGGGAACACCACTGAATGCCAAGGGGTGGTGGTTAGATTGTTTCTTATGCGTTTGCTATTTGTCAGCCCAAGCCTGAATATTGTTCAGGTCCTGTTACATTTGAACATGGACTGCTTCTGTATCTGAGGAGCCATGAATAGTGCTGCACATTGTGCAATCATCAGTGAAGATCCCCACTCCCCAATTTTGGACTTAATTGCTAGGGAGTTGGAGTTCAAAAACAGGAAAGTCTTGTTATAACTGTACAGGTGTTGATGAGGCTGCACCTGGGGGGTTTTGGTCTTGTATTTAAGAAAGTATTTATTAATATTGGAGATTCACTAGGTTGATTCGTGAGTTGGAAGGATAGATTTATCAAGAACAACTCAACAGATATGAGCTTATGGAAACATACAAAATTCTGAATGGTTTGACAGGGTAGAAGTTGTGAAGATGGTTCCACTAGTGGGGAATTGTGAACTAGGGGACACAGTTACAGAATAAAAGATCATCTATTTAAAACTGGAATTTCTTCTCCCAGAAGGTAATGAATATCTGAAATTTGCTACCCAAGAGAACTGTGGAGACTATTTCACTGGAAGTATTTAAAGAAGAGGTAGGAAGATCTTTGGAATATCAGGGAGTTGATACCAGGACTATGGTCAATTGGTATAAGAGAGGAGTTTAGGCCTGGGGCAGATCAGCCATTATCTTGTTGAATAATGGGGCAGGATTGAGGGGCTGGATGCTCTACTCCTGCCCTTATTTCTTATGTTCTTATGTTGCTCTTCTCTATTATTGATCTCAACCATATGATACAATGATCAATCTTACTCGAATGTTACAACACAGACACTTGAATCTCTAGTCCCAATCAAACAATGCCTTCTTTCTGTTGGACTGAGAACATACTGATCACCAAAGTTCATATGTACACAGTTCAGAAATTCCTCCCATTTATCATTTCGATGATTTCAATCAATATTAGCTAACTTAAGTCCCTCAAGATCATCATTCTATAGTTCTTACACATCTCAGTGATCTTTCTGTAGTATTATTCCTCATTATTTGGAGTCCTAAAGATCACCCCTGCTGAATCAGAGAAAATCTACCAGCATAGAAACACCTAAACCATAATAATGTAACTTAGAAATTACTTACCTTTCTGAAAGCATCCATTAATTCATGAACAAAAATAAAGTTGCTGGAAAAGCTCAGGAGGTCTGGCAGCATCTGTGAAGAGAAGAACAGAGTGAACGTTTCGGGTCCGGTGACCGTTCCTTAGAACTGTTCTGAGGAAGGGTCACCAGACCTGAAATGTTAACTATGTTTTCTCCTTCACATATGCTGCCAGACCTGCTGAGCTTTTCCAGCAACTTTGTTTTCGTTCCTGATTTACAGCATCTGCAGTTCTTGTAGTTTTTATCCATTAATTCATATTGTTTTTGGCAATTTGTAGAAAATTTTCTCCACCTTGTGACGATACTGTGGCTTTAACAGGTGCGATTTATCCTGGTTTCTTTTAGAGAGAGACTGGGGAACAGATGCAGAGCAGTCTGAAAAGATAAACAACTTGTGAAGCCTTAGATTTTTTTTAAGTTGAAAAAAATAGAAGCAGCCTGAATGGGTGTGGTCAAGCTCCCAGCCACAGAACCAGAATTTTTAGTTTTAGCATTCAGCAGAAGCTGCTGGGGTTATGAAAAGCTGCCATATATCTCTCTCTCTGCTGCAGCTGAAAACTGGAGCCTTTATCTCTCAGAATTGTCTTTTCTTCTCTGTCTTTCTTGCTTTCTTCTGTTAGAGATATTCTTTCCTTTTCTTTTTCCTCTTTCAGAGCTATTCTCTCTTTCCGTTCTTCCTCTGCTTTCAATTGTAATTCAAACTGTTTCATTTCCTTTTCATGTTCAAACTGCTTCATTTTCAATTGAATTTTAGCCATTTCTAAAGATTCTGATGGCATTCCTGGCAATTATAAACGCTGCATGATTGCCACATCTAATTCCCTTCTTCTCACAGACACAGGCAACTCCAACTCCAGCTTGTTTGCCAATTTGGAAAGCTTTACCTTGCTCACTTTCTCTCAAACTCCCAAAGTGACTTCTTCTACCCTCCACAAAACTCTTAGTGACTAAAAAAGCCATTATTACATACGGCACACGAAATTCAACAACCGAAATAAAAGACACCAACACTTACCACTTGCTGCCTTTGAATCCAATAATCCTACACCCAACCTGGAATTAGAGATTTTGATCTCAACAAGAGCCCCAATTTGTTACGGACCATTCCAGACTCCCTCCAAATATATTAAGAAGGTAGCCTAGACTCTAATTTTTTGCTTTATTTAAAGGTAAATGTGAGGTTTTGTTCCAGATGCAATTTGATTAGCCAAACTACTCAATGTTAAGCAAAACACAATTTATTCAAACACTACAGTTAAAATAAAACAAAATAAAGAGGAACTTGGAATAATTTAACTCTACTGTCATCTAAAATTATACGTGTCCGAAGAAGTAGAATTGATTAATTTAACATCTTACACAACAGGAAATTGGTCTTAATTTTTAAATGTGTACAAGTATCTGTAATGCTGAATTAATTATGAAGGGCTATTTAGCCTCTAGCAGGTAGAAGACAATGTTCTAAAGCAATTCAAATCAGTACAGATTCTAAAGGATAATCTGCAGGTACAGTATTACAGAAATGGGAGTCGGTTAGCTCAGCTGGCTGGTTTGTGATGCTAACAGTGTGAAATCAGTTCCCACACTGCCTGAGATCATCATGAAGGTTCTGCCTTCTCAACCACACCCCTCACCTGAGGCGTAGTAACCCTCAGGTCAAACTCACCTTCAGTCGTCTCTCTCAAATGAAAGAGCAGCTATGTTGTCCTCTGGGACTTTGACGACGACTATTACAGAATCATTAAAATATTAAGCCATAAAGTCAAACTGTTTAAATTCTAAATCCTCGGTGGTTAGCACTACTGCCTCAGAGCGCCAGGAATCCGGGTTTGATTCCAACCTCAGGCGGCTGTATGTGTGGAATCTGTACATTCTCCCTGAATCTGTGCTGGTTTCCTGTGATTCCTCTGGTTTCTTCTCACAGTCCAAAGATGTGCAGGTTTGTTGGATTGGCCATGCTAAATTGCCCATAGTGTTCAGGGATTAGCCATGGTAAATGCAGGTTTACAGGGATAGGGTTAGAGGGTGAGTCCAGGTGGGATGCTCTTCAGAGGGTCAGTGTGGACTCGATGGGCCACATGGTCTGCTTCCACACAGAAGTGATTCTATAATTCTATTTCATATATTTTAAGCTGATCAAATCCACTGGCTTGACATAGTTCGTGACTTCATGAACTGAAAGTCATTTATGGTTTTGGTTTCCTGAATATACAATTCTACTGGAAGACTTAACAGAATTGTAGTAATCGGAATCATGGCCAGATGGATCTCATTGACTATTGATTGGGGTTGTTAACCTGGACCAATCAGGGAGTCAGATATAAACAGGAGATTCAGAAGGTCTCCTTGATCTAGGGACTGGCTTTGAGCCGCCTGGTCAGAGCCCATGTGCTGTGCACATAAAGGGTGGCTTGGTGACGGGATACTGGCCCCTATGCAGTTATTTCAAGAATAATAGATTATTTTACTACTAAACTGGTACAATATAGTAATATCCCATAAACACATCCTTGACAAAAGGCAAATTCAGAAAACAGAATTGTCTTGCATGCAGTTCTTCAATTTGGGGCGAAAGAACGTGGAAAGACAGTTCTGAGAGACGGAGAACTCCAGCTTTCAGCTTTAACATAGAGAGAGATGTGGCAGCTTTTCACAACCCCAGCAGCTCCTGCTGAATGCTAAAACTAAAAAATCTGTGGGTGGGAGCTTGACCACATCCATTCAGGCCGCTTCCCTTATTCCAAATTTAAAACAAAACACCCAAGGCTTCACAAGTTGTTTATCTTCTCACAGACTGCTCAGTGCCTGTCCCCCAGTCTCACTGTAAAAACACCACGACAAAACATACCTCTTAAAGCCACAGTATTGTCAACAACCTATACCCACATAGTTTTAAAGAGAAACAGAAGTTGCTGGAAAAGCTCAGCAGGTCTGGCAGCATCTGTGAAGATAAAATCAGAGTTAACGTTTCGGGTCCGGTGACGCTTCCTCAGAACTTCTTCACAGATGCTGCCAGACCTGCTGAGCTTTTCCAGCAACTCTGTTTTTGTTCCTGATATACAGCATCCGCGGTTGTTTTGGTTTTTATCCACATAGTTTTACTTGCTCCACCATCCAAAATCCTGTGGAGCGTTTGCCAGCAAGTCATTTCTGAAGAGTCCACTCTACTGGGCTGTTCTGCTGAACTGAGCCCATGTATGCTTAGAATCCTTACTTTTGCATTTGGAAATATGCTTATCCATTTTTGTCTAATAACTATTATTTAAGTTTTGATCCAAAAAATTGTCTTGGACAACCATAGGCTCCAGTTTAAACCTTCCTTCTAACTTCCTATTTTATTCCATAATAATAAAGCTGTATCTTCCATATAAATTCAGCTGATCTGTTCAGTTATGAATTATAAATACCTATTATCAGCCACACTCAAGAGGTCCATGAAATAAGGATCTTCTGTATGAATTTGTGGTGCTGATGCAATTCCAGATGGAGGAACTGGCTGATCAATTTGCATTCGCTGTCGACGAAATGGGATAGTGCGCTTTCTACCACCTGCATAAGAAAAATGGAGTTTTGTTTTGCAATAAATCGGAAATCTTTGAGTTTTATTTTCAATAGCCATTTATCATATTGTGCTATACATACGTTCCATGTTGGACACTGCACTATGATTGATTTGTCAGATCCTATTCCTTTAATTTAAGGTGCAGCTTTGAAATAACCCTGTTGTTTAAATAAAATAAACTAATCCAAAACTGATTACTCTTCACATCTCTACATTTTGACAACATTCCGACTCCAGTATCAGTAATCTTCCTCCATGCAGGTGTATACAAAATTCTTGGTAACTGGGTAACACAGGTCTATTTGTTCTATGATGTCATTTTGTGACCTAACCTTCTGTGATGCAATATTATTTGCTGATCACTAACATGACATTGGTGTGATTGTGATGGTGTTATTGCAACCACATATTTTGTTTGTCTTTCTGATCCATACACAGTGAAATCATGATGAGTTAAATTTGGATAACCTGGACCCCAGTTTTGATGAAACTGCCAGCCATTCAAGTCAGCAGGTTAGAAATCACGTAGAAAGATGCCCATCGTAAGGTGAAGTTTAGGGCTGCTAGCTCTGGATCTACCAAACTCATATATGCTTACCATCTGACCTCACCAACCAACTTGGTTGGCGTTCGGTCATATTAGAGCATGAGATTACAGCAGGTCATCATTCAACACCATGCCCTCTGTGTGAAAGGGCATTCATACCTTGCAGGTTAGGCTAAACTGGAAGAAAGTTAGAACTATGAGTGATTGGAGGTAAAGTGAAATTAATACAGCAAATGAAAAATCACAGCACAAAGCAAATAGCATACATCATTAAAGAATGGCAAACCCCATCATGCATTTGTTAATAATTCTTAAGCACAAGGTGACATCTTGGAACAGTTTAACAGGCAGGCAGTCCTTCCAACAAAAATGATGATGAGAACAACTGGCTATCTCACCATCAATTCTGCTCTGCTAACATGATTCAAGAACATTCTCAGCTCCACTCCAATCCTGTAGGAAAGATGCTTTGCCTTGGCAAAGAGGCTGGACCACAATGAGTTCACTTGCACCAAAGGATGGCTGGACCAGTACAAGAATCTCTAGCATTTTTCAAGCATGACTCAGGAAAGCTGATAAAGTGTATCAGCTGAAGAAAATGAAAATTATCATTACAAACAACTACCCATGCAACCTGAAAACCCACTACCTACAGCAGCTAATCTCTCAGATTTTGAAGGCCATCATAAGAAGCAAAAGTACAGCTCAAATGATCTAAAGACTAAATTTGTGACAAGGAACTTGTCAAAATTGTGATGGAAAGCACAATTGCCAACTATGTCCGCCATGTAGGGTTCAAATGACTGTTCAAGATGGATAGAATGAGGAGGAGCTGGGTGAGGCCAATCTAATCACAAGGCTCATTGCAGTAGTCTGTGAAAGCTAGTATGAAAATCCTAGCAAAGTCAATTAAAAAAACTAACATTTATATGTACAACATCATAAGCTGCACAATAGAACCGACAGATAAGGCAATCACAGATGCAATACATTTTCAACCTGGGAGCCCAATGATGCTAAAATAGAGTTCAATGAATGCTCACCGATCTACCCATTTCCCGAAATAAAGCTGCAAGACTGTAGAGATGCTCTGGATTTTGCAACACAGAACCAAAGACATGTTTGACTGCATCGATGGCATGGGAGACTGCATCACACTGATCTAAAGACATTATTTGAAGCATAAAAAGATACAGAGATTTTCCAAATCAAATTCCCGATGTTTTATAATGTTGTTTAATTTATGACGTCTGTCATAGAGTCATAGAGGTATACAGCATGGAAACAGTCCCCTCGGTCCAACTCGTCCATGCCGACCGGATATCCTGTGTACATCTAGTTCCATTTGCCAACATTTGATCCACATCCCTCTAAACCCTTCCTTTTCACATACACGACCAGATGCTTTTTAAATGTTGTAATCATACCAGCCTCTTCTTCTGGCAGCTCATTCCATACACAGACCACCCTCTGTGTGAAACAGTTGCTCCTTGGTTCTCTTCTATATCTTTCCCCTCTCACCTTAAACCTATGTCCTCTAGTTTTGGACTCCCCCACCCCGGGGAAAATACCTTGCCTGTTTACCTTATCCATGCCCCTCATGATTTTATAAACTTCTATTAAGGCCAGCCCTCAGCTTACGATGCTCCAGGGAAAATAGCCCCAGCCTATTTAGCCTCTTTCTATAGCTCAAATCCTGCAACCCTGGCAACAGCCTTGTAAATTTTTTCTGAACCTTTTCAAGTTTCACAACATCCTTTCCTCTAGCAGGGAGATCAGAATAGTGCGCAATACTCCAAAAGTGGCCAAACAGCCGCAACATGACCTCCCAACTCCTAAACTCAATGCACTGACCAATGAAGGACAAGATACCAAACACCTTCGTTATTATCCTTTCGACCTGCAACTCCACTTTCAAGAAACTATGAAAATGCACTCCAAAGTTTCTTTGTTCAGCAACACTCCCCAGGACCTTACCATTAAGTATATAAGTCCTGCCCTGAACTGCGTTTCCAAAATGCATCACTTCATTCATCTAAATTAAACTTCATCTGCCACTCATCGGCCCATTAGCCCATCTGATCAAGATCCCGTTGTACTCGGAGGTAGATATCTTTGCTCTCCACTACACCTCCAATTTTAGTGTCAACTGCAAATTTACTAATCATAACCCCAGATGTTCACATCCAAATCATTTATATAAATGACAAAAGCAGTGGACCCAGCACTGATCCTGGTGGCACACTGCTGGTCACAGGTCTCCAGTCTGTTAAGCAACCCTCCACCACCACCCTCTGTCTTCTACCTTCGAGCCAGTTCTGGATCCAAATAGCTAGTTCTACCTGTATTCCACGTGATCTAACCTTGGTAACCAGTCTACCATGAGGAACCTTGTTGAACGCCTTACTGAAGTCCATATAGATCACGTCCACTGCTCTACCCTCATCAATCCTCTTCACTATTTCTTCAAAAAACTCAATCTAGTTAGTGAGACACAACTTCCCATGCACAAAGCCATGTTGACTATCCCTAATCAGTCATTGTCTTTCTAAATGCATGTAAATCCTGTCCCTCAGGATTCCCCCCAACAACTTGCCTGACATAGATGTCAGGCTCACCAGTCTACAGCTCCCTGGCTTTTCCTTACCACCTTTGTTAAATAGTGGCACAATATTAAACAACCTCCAGTCTTCTGGTACCTCACCTGTGCCTATTAATGATACAAACATCTCAGCAAGGGGCCCTTGCTTCCCACAGAGTTCTAGGGTACACCTGATCAGGTCCTGGGGATTTATCCACCTTTATGCAATTTAAGAGATATAGCACCTCCTCCTCTGTAATATGGACATTTTTCAGATGTTGCTATTTATTTCCCCACGTTCTATATCTTCCATATGCTTCTCCACAGTAAACAATGATGCAAAATACTTGTTTAGTATCTCTCCCATTTTCTATGGCTCCACACATAGGTGGCTTTGCTGATCTTGTAGGGGCCCTATTCTCTCCTTAGTTACGCTCTCGTTCTTAATGTATTTGTACAATCCCTCTGGATTCTCTTTAACCCTATTTGCCAAAGCTAGCTCATGTCCCCTTTTTGCCCTCCTGATTTCCCTCTTAAGTTTACTCCTACTACCTTTGTACTCTTCTAGGGATTCACTCGATCCCTGCTGTCAATACCTGACATTTGCTTCCTTCTTATTCTTGACCAAAACCTCAATTTCACTAGTCATCCAGCATGCCCTACACCTACGAGCCTTGCCCTTCATCCTAACAAGAACATACTGTCTCTAGACTGTCGTTATCTCATTTTTGAAAGCTCCCATATTCCAGCTGTCCCCTTACCTGCAAACATCTCCTACCAATCAACTTTTGGAAGTTCTTGCTTAATACCATCAAAAATGGCCTTCCTCCCATTTAGAACTTTAACTTTTAGATCTGGTCTATCCTTTTCCATCACTACTTTAAATCATTGAGATCTCCTTACAAATTTGTTTCTCAATTTCCTGCTGACTCTTTGGCGGGTCCATAGTACAATCCCAATAAGATGTTCATCCCTTTATTTCTCAGTTCCATGCAAATAACTTCCCTGGACGTATTCCCAGGAATATCCTCCCTAATTACAGCCGTAATGTTATCCTTAATCAGAAACATCACTCCCCTGCTCTCTTGCTCCCCTTTCTATCCTTCCAGTAACATCTATACTGTGGAATATTAAGCTGCCAGTCCTGTCCTTCCCTGAGCCACATCTCTGTAACTGCTATGATATTTCAGTCCCATGTTCCCAACCATGCCCTGAGTTCATCTGCCTTATCTGTTAGGCCTCTTGCATTGAAATAAATGCAGTTTATCAGCCCAATCTCATTCTAGGCTTTGTTCCTGCCTGCCTTGACTGTTTGACTTACTCCTTTCCCCAACTGTATCAGTCTCAGACTGCTCTCCTTCCTCATAGTATCTCTGGGTTTCACTCCTCCCTGTATTAGCATAAATCTTCCCACCAGTATATTAGTCCCCTTCCAATTCAGGTGCAATCCATCCTTCTTATACAGATCACTTCTACCTCAGATGTGCATTCATTCCAAATAAAGACATTTTTCATGTATTTGTTGTTTTAGTATGTTTTCATTTAATATGGTATTTTGACCTAGAGCATGTTTGACAAATTGGAAAGATTCAGGCCTCCTCAGCTATTTCAAAACTCCTTTAACACAAACTTATGGGTGAAAGTCCTGCCATTTGACTCATCAAGATTTTACGTTATTTGAAAGTGAAACAGGAAAATTCTTCACATGTAAAATGCTCTTTAAAAAATAACTGCACAATGGAATTTAATTAAATTCCTGGAAACATTTTCAAATAGTAATTTAAATTACTATTTTTTGCGTTTTCTTTGTACTTTCTCCATATTCAATTTCTGTGCACATGGAAACACAAAACATTTCAATATGCCAAAACTATTAAAATTTTTAAATGGTGGTTAACACTAGTGATTTTCATTCTTAGAAAAACGACCCCGTGCACATGCTACAGAATACACCTCAACACAGCTGGCTCTGAATTGTTTCTGGCACGGCATTAGGATACTGACTGCTACTAAAATGAAAGAAACTGGTCCTGGACTGATAACAGACATCACACAGTGGAGGGCAGGATTCAAAATGGTAGGTCCGTTCAGTGTACGCATTGATATTTAATCAGTCCCATATCTATTTAACATTTTAGATGAAAGAATACTTTTACTTTAATTTCTCTAAATACAAGATCTTGTACTGTTACAATGATAGCCATATAACAGAGCCTATAACAGATTTTAAATTGTATTTCACTGTGTTTCTAGCCGTAATTTTAATTCAATATACTTTTGGTACATTCTACAATTGCCAAAAAGCATAACTGTATTAAGCAAATTACTTCAACATAATTACATTCATGTTTCCTTCGAAGAAAATAAACAAAACTGAAAAGTAGTATTCTTACCTGGAGTTTGCACAACAGCTTGCAGGTTTTTCTCTTGTAGTTGCTGGATCTTATCAGTCTTTGCTTTACTTTCCTTTTCTAGGGATCGTACTTTATGCACATACTGGTTATTTAAAAACTTCAAATCTGCAGTGTCATGTTCCAACTTTCTTATGGTATGTTTTAAATCTAAAAATAATTGTAATCAAATCACACTTTGTAACACAATAGCCAGTAATGTTGGTCACAATATTAGAAAGAACCCAATGCAGACATGGCCCAACAATTTGTAACAATTAACCAATTATTCTGAAAACAACACTTTGTTTTTAGTATGACAAATTGTTAACCAAAATTTGAGAAAGGAGTGAGAACAGGATGGCTATCTGAAGTTGCACACCAAGCCAGGTTAACAATCCCTATTCTGGCCTCAGCCAAATAAAATAAAACAGATGAATATCTCGTACTGCACCTAGACCGGAAGCAGCAAAAGATTCCACATTAAAAATGTTCTCCGAAGGATGGGCAGTGGTCTAGAAGGGTTGGTCATCATCTTATGTCTACATATACCTGGGGTTTTAAACATCTAATTTGTATGGCTAGGTAATGAAAAGAGCACTAAACTGACAGAATAAGAGAAAATGCAGTGTATAAAGTTTCTTTGACCTTGATAATCACTTTCTCAATGCATTGCAATTATACAGGAAAAGCAATAGACCATTTAACCCTTCCAATCATTACTGTTCTTTGATATCCAAACTGAACTCATCATAGAAGATCATCATAGAATCCCTACAGTGTGGAAACAAGCCCTTCGGCCCAACAAGTCCACACTGAACCTCAGAGCATCCCACCCAGACCCATCCCCCTGTAACCCACCTAATCTACACATCCCTGAACACTGGCCAATCCACCTAACCTGCACATCTGTGGGAGGAAACCGCAGCACTCGGAGGAAACCCACGCAGACAAGGGGAGAATGTGCAAACTCCACACAGTCGCCTGAGGGTGGAATCGAACCCGAGTTGCTGGTGCTATGAGGCAGCAATGCTAACCACTGAGCCACCAGGCCACCCATCGCAACTGTGGTGTAACATTTTTTTACTCATGTTTGGACATGGGCATTGCTGGTTGACCAGCATTTATTGCCTGCCCCTAGTTGTCCTTGAGAAGATGGTGGTGAAATGACTTCTTGAACTGCTGCAGTCCACGTGCTGTAGGTTGACCCATTATGCCGTTAGTGAGAGAATTCCAGGATTTTTGGCTCACCGACAGTGAATGGTGATATTTTTCCAAGTCAGAATGGTGAATTGCTTGAAGGGGAACTTTCAGGTGATGGTGTTCCCATATATCTGCTGCTCTTCTCCTTCTAGATGGAAGTGGTTGTAGATTTTTGAGGTGCTGTCTGATATTCTTTGGTGAATTTCCACCATGCATCTTGTAGATAGTGCACACTGTTGCTACTGAGCGTCAGTGGTAGAGGGAGTGGATGTTTGTGGATGTGGTGCCAATCAAGTGGTGTCAAACCTATTGAATGTTGTTGGAGCTGCACCCACCCAGGCAAGTGGGGAGTATGCCATCACACTCATCATTTGTGCCTTGTAAATGATGGACAGACTTTGGGGAGTCACGAGATGAGTTACTCATCAAAGTATTCCTAGCATCTGACCTTCTCTTGCAGCCACTAGCGAGTCCAGTTCAGTATCTGGTGAATAGTAACCCCAAGGATGTTGATAGTTGGGGATTCTGTGATGGTAACACCATTGGATATCATGGGGCAGTGATTAGATTGTCTCTCTTTGGAGATGGTCATTGCCTGGCATTTGTGCGGTATGATTGTTACTTGTCATTTGTCATCCCAAGTCTGGATATTGTCAGATCTTGTTGCATTTGAACATGGACTGGGTCAGTAACTAAGGAGACGCAAAAGGTCCTGAACATTTTGCAATCATCACTGAACATTACGGTGGAGGGTAGGTCATTGATGAAGCAGCTGAGGATGGTTGGATCTAGGCCACTACCCTGAGGAACTAGTGAAGAAATGTACTGGAGCTGAGATGACTGACCTCCAACAAACACAGCCACCTTTGAATGCATCAATCAGTGGAGAGTTTGCCCCTGACACCCATTGATTTCAATTTTGCTATGGCTCCTTGATGCCACACTGGGTCGAATGTAGCCATGACGTCAAGGGCTATCATTCTCATCTCAACACTGGAATTCACTTCTTTTGTCCATAGAGCATAGAACAGTACAGCACAGGAAGGGGCCCTTCGTCCCACGATGTTGTGTCGAACATGACGTCAAATTAAACTAATTCCTTCTCTGTGCCCTTGGTCCATATCCCTCCATTCCTTGCATATTCACCTGCTTATCTAAAAGTCTCTTAAACACGCCTATTGTATCTGCCTCCACAACCACCCCTGGCAGTGCATTCCCACCTCTCTGCGTAAGAATCTGTCCCTCGCATCTCCTTTGAACTTTCCTCCTCTCACCTTAAATGTATGGCCCCTAGTATTTGACATTTCAACTCTGGAAAAAGGATTCTGACCATTAACCCTATCTAAGCATCTCATAATTTATAGACTTTTATCACGTTGCCCCTCAGCCTCTGCTGCTCCAGAGAAAACAACACAAGTTTTTCTCACCTCTCCTTATAGCTCATTCCCTCTAATCCAGGCAGCATCCTGGTAAACCTCATCTGCACCCTCTCCAAAGCCTCATCCTTCCAGTAATGTGGCAACCAGAAGTGAATGCAATACTCTAAATGTGGCCTAACCAAAGTCTTACAAAGCTGCAACATGACAACCTGACTCTTGTATTGAATTTCCTGACCAATAAAGGGAAGCATGCCATACGCCTTCTTTCCCACCCTATCTACTTATGTGGCCACTTTCAGGGAGATATGGACTTGAACCCTAAGATCCCTCTGTATATCAATGCTGTTCAGCGTCCTGCCATGAACTGTATACTTTTCCTTAACATTTGATCTCCTAAAGTGCAGCACCTCACACTTACCTGGATTAAATTCCATCTGCCATTTCTCTGCCCATATCTACATCTGATCTATATCCCGCTGTATCCTTTGACAACCTCTACACTACCAACAACTCCATCGATCTTTGTGTCACGGACTTCCAGCTAGAAAAACACCCACCCCTGCCTTCTTTGGACAAGCCAATTCTGAATGCAAGCAGCCAAGTCACCATGGATCTCATTCACCTTAATCTTCTGGATAAGCCTGCCTTGAGGGACTTTGTTGAAAGCCTTACTAAAATCCATGTCGGCAACATCCATTGTTCTACCCTCATTGATCACCTTCGTCACCTCCTCGAAAAATTCAATCAAGTCTGCAAGACATGACCCGCCCTGCACAAAGCCATGCTGAGTGTCCCTAATTAGGCTGGTTTTCAAAAAATCAATATTTGTTTCTATGAGTTCTCTAGCTTCCATTTCTTTCTCCACTGTAAAAACAGATTTAATATCTCTCCCATCTCCTGACATTTTACACAAAGATGACTTTCTTGATCTTTAAGGGCCCTACTCTCTCCCTAGTTGCTCCTTTGCTCTTAACGTAGTTGCAGAATCTATTTGGCTTATTCTTAACCTAGTGTGCCAAGGCTATTTCATAAGCCCTCTTTGCCTTCCTGATTTCCCTCTTAAGAATACCCCTACACTCTTTATACTCTTCAAGAAATTCATATGATCCCAGTTGTTGATATCTAATAAACAATTCTTTTTTATTCTTGACTAGAATCTCAATATCGTTATTCATCCATTGTTCCCTAATCTTCCCAGCCTTACCTTTCACTCGAACAGAGACATAAGGCCTCTGAACTCTTGTTATCTCACTTTTAAAAGCATCCCACTTGTCAGTCAGCCCTTTACCTGCAAACAGTCTACTCTAACTAACTTTTGAAAATTCTTCTAGAGTCAACTACTGCAATACATTCCTGGCCGACTCCCACATTCTCCCCTCAGCATCTTAAATCCTTATTTGTAGCAAGTCTTGCTCACCCTAAACCGCCATACCCACCTTAATGAATTTCGGGCACGACATGATGTCGAACTCTTCTTCCGCTGTCTTTACCTCCATGCCCATTTCTTTGGACAAGAGTCCTCTTCCCATCCCAAAGATCCCTTTGCCCAACTCCAACACTCGCCCTCCCTCTGGCCTTTTACCTGCACTCGATCTGTTCATTGAGATCTATCGATGTGACATTAGCCGCCTCAATTTCTTTGCCCCCCCTTACCAAATCCAACCTATCTCCCTCCGAGCTGACTGCAACTCCGTGCACTCAGATCTAACTCTGACCTTGTCAATAAGCCTGTCGATAAGGGTGGTGCTATCTTAGTGTGGCGTACTGACCTCTACCATGCAGAGGCTGAGCGCCAACTCTCGGATACCTCCTCCTACCTTCCCCTGGAACATGACCCCACCATGGCACATCAGGCCATTGTATCCACTACCGTAACTGATCTCATTTCATCCGGTGATCTCCACCCATCCGCTTCCAAGCTGATAGTCCCCCAACCCCGCACAGCTCGTTTCTACCTCCTGCCAAAAATCCACAAACAGGACTGTCCGGGCAGACCTACTGTTTCAGCCTGCTCCTGCCCCACAGAACTCATCTCTTTCTACATTGACTCAGTCTTCTCTCCCCTGGTCTAAGTCCTACCCATGTACATCCATGATTCCTCTGATGCCTTACACCGGTTTCAAAACTTCCAGTTTGCCAGATCCAGCCACCTCCTCTTTACCATGGATGTACAATCCCTTTACACATCCATTTCCCACTAGGAGGATCTTAGGGCTCTCCGCTTCTTCCTGGAGCAAAGACCTGAACTATCCCCACCCACCACCACCCTCCTCCGCTTGGCCGAGCTTGTCCTCACCCTCAACAACTTCTCTTTTGACTCCTCTCATTTCCTACAGGTAAGAAGTGTGGCCATGGGTACCCGCATGGGCCCTAGTTATTCCTTGTTCCAGTCCTATTCTGGCCCCCACCCACAACTCTTAGAACATAGAACAGTACAGCACAGTACAGGCCCTTCAGTCCACGATGTTTTGCCAAACTCTTTCTCCAATACATCAATGATATCATCGGTGCTGCTTCCCTCTCTCATCTGGAATTGGAAAACTTCATCAATTTCACCTTCAATTTCCACCCTGCCCTCATTTTCACCTGTTCTATCTCTGACTCCTCCCTTCCCTTCCTTGACACTTCTATTTCCATTCCTGGGGATAGACTGGTCACTAATATCCATTACAAACTCACTGACTCCCACAGCTACCTGGACTATACATCCTCACATCCCACTTCCTGTAAAGACTCCATCCTATTCTCTCACTTCTTCCGTCTCCTTCGCATATGTTCAGATGAGGCCAACTTCGACAAGGGAGCTTCCGAAATGTCCACCTTCTTCCTCAACCGAGGATTCCCCAGCTCCGTTGTCGACAGGGCCCTCAATGAGGTCCGACCCATCTCCCGTACTTCCGCTCTCATCCCTTCTCTTCCCTCCTGCAACAGCGATAGGGTTCCCCTTATCCTTACATACCATCCCACCAGCATCTACATCCAGAAGATCATCAGATGCCATTTCCGCCACCTCCAGTGAGATGCCACCACCAGACATATATTCCCCTCTCTTGTTAGCCTTCCGCAGGGACTGTTCCCTCTGGGACACCCTGGTCCACACTTCTTTAACTCCCAACACCTCCCCACAGCCCGATGGCACCGTTCCCTGTAACCGGCGAAGGTGCAACACCTGCCCATTTACCTCCTCCCTCCCCAGTATCCAAGGGCCCAAACATACCTTCCAGGTGAAGCAACACTTCACCTGCACTTCCCAGAATCTAGTCTATTGCAATCGCTGCTCACAATGCAGTCTCCTTTACATTGGGGAAAAGAAGCGTAGACTTGGCGACCGCTTCACAGAACATCTATGTTCTGCTTGCAAAAAAGACCCTGAACTACCTGTTGCCTGCCACTTTAATGCACCACCCTGCTCCCTGGCCAACATCTCTTCTCTGGCTTGCTGCAGTGTTCCAGCGAGGCCCAATGCAAACTGGAGGAACAACACCTTATTTTCTGCTTGGGGACCCTACAGCCCTCCGGACTCAATATTGAGTTCAATAATTTTAGGGCCTAAACTCTCCCATGTCCCAGCCCACTACTCCACACACCAGGCCTTGTTACCACATAGCCTGCCATTACACACCCCCTGTTGTTAGTCACTAACAGTCCCCATTAACAACTATTCACCCTCACAGCCTGATCATTAGCAATTCCTTTGTCTGTCCAACTGTCTTTCTCTCTCTTTGGGCTCAATCCTATCATTTACTCCATGTCCCACCAATCTCCCTATTTTCTGCATATAAACTGACGTTTTCCCAGCCACCATCAATTTTGAGGAAGGGTCACCGGACCTGAAGCATTAACTCTGTTTTTTCCTTCACAGATGCTGCCAGACCTGCTGGGCTTTTCCAGCAACTTTGGTTTTGTTCGCTGTCCTCACTGATCTGGTTCAGCAACGTTCCAGTTTCAAAATTCTCATCTTGTTTTCATAATCCTCCATAATTTCACCTGTCTTCATTTCTGTAACCTCCTTTGGCACCACAAATCTCTGTGATATCTGCACTCTTACAATTCTGACCATATGATCATCTAATTGCTCCTCCATTGATAGCCATGCTACTACCTAGGCCTCAACTCTAGAATTCCCTTCCACATCGTTCCACCTCTCTACTCCGCATTCCTCCTTTCTGACACTTCTTAAAAACCTACCTCTTTGATAAAGCTTTTGGTCATCTACTCTAATATTATGCAGCTTGACGCAGCTTTTGCTTCATAACACTCAGTGAAACACCATGAGATACTTAATTACAATAAAAATGCTCAATAAACACAGTTTGTTGACATTGAGAAGAGTGCTCTTAAAATCCACCTCACTGGCGATGCTTTGGTCACACTCCCCGATAAAAAATACAACGGCTCCTTTGGTTTGGTATCCAGTTTTATCTAATTAGCCTTTGCTTCATTCATTCATGGTTTGTGGGCATTCCTGGCTCAGGCCAGCATTTATTGCCCAACCCTTGTTGCCCTTGAGAAGGTGGCAGTGAACTGCCTTCTTGAATTGCTGAAATCTATTAATGGCGCCTTTGACATTTGCTTTGTCATGGGTGTAATTCAAATGCAAGTTGTGCAAAGCATATTTAAAAATACATGAAGACAAAATTAGTCTCATTTGTTTGCAAATGAAACATTAATATTATTATGTCACTACTTCAAGAACTTGCTATAAACTGCACACATATCTCATTAATACCTTTGGCATGTTGATCTGACTCTTCCTTTAACCTCAGTAATTCCTGATGGAGCTTGTTATTCTCTTGGACAAGACGGGCATTTTCGGCTCTATATGGTTCAAGCACAGAGTCCAAGTTCTTGGTCTCTTTTTCCGTTTTTCCAGATGACAGCTTGGCATTGCGAAGGCTTTCTGTTGTGTGCACCAAATCACTGCAACACGTTAATTATTGTTTAGAACATGGCTGAGTGATGGAGATACGTGCTAAACTCAATTAGTAGTAACTTCCTGAAAATTTACAAAATGCAAGAGATTTATTTTCACATTTAGCTATTTCACCCAAGGCATAAACAATAATTTGATTTCATTTTTTTAACTACAAATGTACTGATGAGAACCAAGCAATAGGGCAGGAGTAGTTAACCTTCTGCAGCAGGGGACCAGATCCATGTGTTAGAATGAGTGAAGCATGAAAACTATATACTGTGTTTGATTTCTGGTTAATTCTCAAGAATTTAAACAAAACATTTACAAAAGCAGAGTGTGTTGCTAACACCAAGATGGCCACCAGTATTTTTTCATGTGCACCTGGCTCTGGTGATGTCAACAAAAATAATTTTTTCAAAAGTGCTTCTTACTTCAGTAGGCAGTAGCTCTGCTTAGATTACCTTTACAGCATTTATGAAACATGAAGTAATGGGGCCTCAGCAGATTTAGCCCATTTGAACCAATTTTTCCATGGATTACAGTGAGTGAGTGTTTGCATATTTTTGTCTGCTTCTTCATACATGTTACAGCTAGCAGAAGGGGCAGAGAGAGAGACAGAAATACATTTATCTCATAAGGCTACATAGGCTGGATGTGAAGTCAATGGCACAAGGATGAAGGATCATGTTATTCACTGCATTGTGAACCTTTGTCATAATGAGTGCGTGTTGTGAAGATTTGAGCACACAGTCCTTTAACAGATCTCACATTTTTCTTGGGATGGACCTGAGTTTTCAACTGGCCCAGAGTTTTCAGTATTTCCTACATTTGCTCACGGAATTTTACCTGGTACAGATCCTTAAGAAAGACAGCAGAAACTTAACACATAACCCTAGAAGCTAGAGAAGTGATTGCTGGGCCCCTTGGTGAGGTATTTGCATCACTGATAGCCAGAGGTGAGGTGCCATAAGACTGGAGGTTGTCTAACGTGGTGCTACAATATAGGAAAGGTGGTAAGGAAAAGCCAGGGAACTATAGACTGGTGAGCCTAACATCGATGGTGGGCAGGTTGTTGAAAGGGATCCTGAGGGACAGGATTTACATGTATTTGGAAAGGCAGGGCTAATTAGGGATAGTCAACATGGCTTTGTGTGTGGGAAATCGTGTCTAACTAACTTGATTGAGACTTTTGAAGAAGTAACAAAGAGGATTGATGAAGGCAGAGCGGTGGAAGTGATCTATATGGACTTCAGTAAGGTGTTCGACAAGTTTCCTCCTGGTAGACTGGTTACCAAGGTTAGATCATGTGGAATACAGGGAGAACTAGCCATTTGGATACAGAACTGGCTCGAAGGTAGAAGACAGAGGCTGGTGGTGGAGGTTTGCTTTTCAGACTGGAGGCCTGTGACCAGCAGGGTGCCACCAGGATCGGTGGTGGGTCCACTGATTTTCGTCATTTGTATAAATGATTTGGATGTGAATGAAGGAGTATGGTTAGTAAGTTTGCAGATGACACTAAAATTGGAGGTGTAGTGGACAGCGAAGAAGGTTACCTTACAGTACAACGGGACCTTGTTCAGATGGGCCAAAGAGTGGCAGATGAAGTTTAATTTAGATAAATGAGGTGCTGCATTTTGGAAAGGCAAATCAGGGCAGGACTTACATACTTAATGGTAAGGTCCTAGGGAGTGTTGCTGAACAAAGAGAACTTGTAGTGCAAGCTCATAGTTCCTTGAAAGTGGAGTCGCAGGTAGATAGGATAGAGAAGGCGGCATTTGGTATGCATGCCTTTATTGGTCAGTGCATTGAGTATAGGAATTGGGAGGTCATGTTGCAGCTGTACAGGACATTGGTTAGGCCACTTTTGGAACAGTGCTTGCAATTCTGGTCTCCCTGCTATAGGAAGGATGTTGTGAAACTTGAAAGAGTTCAAACAAGATCTGCCAGGGTTGGAGAGTTTGAGCAAAAATTAGAGGCTGAATAGTCTGGGACTTTTATCCCCGGAGCATCAGAGGCTGAAAGGTGACCTTATAGAGGTTCATAAAATCATGAGGGGCGTGGATGGGGTAAATAGCCAAGGTCTTTTCCCCAGGGGAAGTCCAAAAGTAAAGGGTATAGGTTTAAATTGACAAGGAAAAGATTTAAAAGGGACCTAAGGGGCAACCTTTTCACACGGACGGTGGTGTGTGTATGGAATGAGCTGCTGGAGGAAGTGGTAGAGGCCGGTACAATTACAACATTTAAAAAGCATCTGAATAGGTATATGAATAGGAAGGATTTAGAGTGATATGAGCCAAATGTGGCAAATGGGACTAGATTTACTTGGGATACCTGGTCGGCATGGATGAGTTGAACTGAAGGATCTGTTTCTGTACTGTACATCTCTATGACTCTAATTAGAAAAGGAATGGGAAGCATAGTGACTGTTGACTCTACCAGACGGTGATTCCTATTGTCAGAATAAATGTCATCTCGGGTGATAACTACCTTCTGAGATGTGTCACTTCTTTTATATTAAAAAAAAGCAAAGATCAAAAATAGGCTTTACCATCCCAGGAATCCAACTGTGGTCATCGCAACATAAAAATAGAGAAATTTGTTGCTTATATAAAAAAAAAGGTTCTTTTCTAAGCTTTAAAGCAGAACACTGCAAAATCATGGTAATGTCATCTTTGTTGCAGTTAGCTGTTGTGGCATGCCAAAGTTACTGCTCATTCAAGGTTGCTGTGTTACTTAGTGATGGTCTTGATGATGAACATATCCTTACAAAAACATAGGACTGGAATGTCCATAGTGATCCCAACTAACATGCATTTGAAGAAAAACAAAAATCAAACACTGGCCTATTGTCTTGGAAACTTTGCATGGTAGCAATAATACAGCAGCTCCCCAACTAAAAATCTCAATTCAATCTGGGCTTGCAGAGACAGCAATTGGGTTGATAGAGTAATCTCTCCATTCTCTAAGATCACACACCGCACTGAGGCCAAGACCCAGCCTTGACCTTGGCCTGTTTGTCTCTCAGTCTTGGAACTTCCATTTCTTCTTCTCAAGACAATCTACAAGGCTGCAATAGCACATCGTCTCAAGTTGAGGGCTCAGCTGTTAGAGTTGCTGTGTGTCCCCAGTGTTCGCCATCATGTGTATTTGTTTTGGGGTTGGGGGGCGGGGGGGGAGGTGGCGAAGGGCAGGAAAACAATTACAGTATATACGGGGAAGAGACTGGCAAAAGTTTACAAATATGGAATCCTTAGATTGCTTTGAAATCCAATTTTGCTAATCTTGAAATAATACATAAAATGCTCAGCAAGCTCCACTGCTCCTTCCTGCTGAATTTTTCAAGCTTACAGTGAAAGAAATAGGAGGACCTAAAGTTTGGGCTTCTAGAAAAAGACAATTCTTGAATGGAAATATTGTGAAAAGCATTTCAAAAACACCAAATGCCTTTTCAGATGCAAGCTTAACAATTCTCATTGTAAATTTTGTAGTTTATCTTACAAACCTTATTGCTAAAAACATTCTTAACTTGGTGCAGAAATAAAGGTGTAAAAAATACTTTTAATCATTGTTTTACCTCCTCCCTTTGGTTTTTTAGTAGGTCTTGCAATTGTTCATTCCTGATCAGTTATTTTTGTTTGCCCTTAATAGTTTATTTTTATCTACTTGTTGCAAGGTTTGGTTGATACACTGCAGTTTTTTTCAACATATTCTATGGATTTGAAATTTTAGCCCATCAAGTATTAGCTGGGAACACAATTTACAGCTAGCAAAATGTGACATTCAAGTGCGCTGGAGAAAGATGGGCATATATTCAGACTGGTAGTAAAATTACAAACCTATTAATAATTTTCCTGCCAACAATACAATGTTACAAAATACCTAATAAAACAACTAAGGAAATTACAGTAAAATTCTTTGAAATGTAACAAACATAGTGTTTTTCTCCATAAAAGAAAACCTTCAGCCTGACTGAAGAATATGATAGAGCAACACCGGAATAAAAGATTTACTGACTTCTTTCCTTTAAATACCTGAAGAGTTTTTCCACCAGTGGGAGAGTCTCAATCCCAAGGGGTTGCCTGTAGCCAAGTTGATCTAAACGTTTCCGCAGGTTTATAAACTTTCTCTCAGAGGTGGTAGTCATTTTAAGAAACAGTTCACCATAAATTTATGTATAGTCCTAGATTTTAAAACAAATAGGAAGAATAATACGAAGTGATAAAAACAGAATTAGGCATAACCTTAAAGGAATATGACCCTCAAAGGGGTATTCCTGAGCCCTGCCCAATTTCCCCAATCCAATCTAAGGGCCACAGAGAACTAAGAATCTGCAATGAGGACATGACAACAAAGACCTTAGAACAAACAGAAAAGTTTATACCACAATGGAAGATAATCACTGTAGAACGTTGGTACCTATAACAAATGAATACAAAATTCTATAGAGAAGTACATTTATTTGTTGAACTCTTGTTGACCAACACTCTGTAAAGGGAGACTTGTAGATTTTATGCTCAAAGGAACCATCAGAAATAGGATTATATTGGCTGCTATGTAGATCACTGACATTAGGAAAATATCAGGGCTGAGGGATTTCAGTTATACATGGCTGGAAGCTCAAGCTTTTTTCACTAGAGCAGAGAAAATTCAATGATTTGGTAAATACAGGTCTTCAAGAAGGGGAGAATTACAGTATGGTAATTAGTGACCAATTCTTTCCATTTATCAGCAGAGTAGTAAGAAGGATCAATTACCAAAGATCATAAACCCAGATCATCCATGGACAAGAAGTGCAACATGCATTATTTAAAAAGAGGCAATACAATCAAGAGATAACTGCTGACGTAAATTTAGTAACTGTCTAGGGAGGGATTCTGAAAATCACACCTGAAGTGGTCAAGGAAGCTTGAAAAGGGGAAACACAGTCCAAATGTAACTGCAATATTGACGGATAGGTTAAAAAAACAAGTTTCAACACTGGTCTGAGTGTGCCAATAGGTTCGGGTGTTCATGTGTGCTAGCCTGGGCTCAGAATCAACAGCCAGCACGTACTGAAAGTCACATATGAAGAACCATCCACTAATCACCGTTGCAGTACCGGTAAATGACTTATCATTTTGAGTGCCGGGTATCAGGCAAAAGGAAATGGAATTTAAAAGAACTCTGAGTGCTGGATCCCAGTCAGCAAGCCAGTTTAAATGGAAACAACACCAAAGAATTTTAGCAAACCTGCAAAGCTAAGAATCACAAAAACCGAATATTCAACAATCAATACTCCACTGTCTACTCTTCACAAATGACCCAGAGACTGATCCATGTATCTTTTAACGTTTAACTTTTTTGACTCACTTCCTATTTTAAATCTGTGTATATGGGTTCCGTTATTATTTCTTCTTGCATTTAATAACTAATACAATCACTCTTCTATTAACTCAAGAAAGCCTTACTAAATTGTCTTTTTGTTCAGAGCATAAATGTAATTTGGTTTGGGGGAAATGTTATCCAGAATGGAGACGATAATTTTTGCAACCACCCAAGGGGGCATGTAAATATAGAAGGGGAGTCAGTTATTCCCAAGGTATCCTGTCAGGAATCACAATAAATTGGGGAACATCAACCAGAGATTGTCAGAACAGAAGATGTATCAAGTTTTAAAAAAGGGAGTTCAGGAGAAATTTTGGGGTCAAACGTTACTTTCAGTACTCCCAAGATCACTTTACAGGATTTGATGGTCCTGTATACTAAGTCACAAAAGGTTAGCACACAGCTATAGCGCATAATTAAAAGGCTAACTGGATGCTCTCCTTTATTAAGAGAAGAATTGAATATAATAATAAGGATGTTATGCTTCAGTCATTCAGTGCATTGTCGAGATCACATCTTGAATATTATATGAAGTCATGGTTAAGGGTGGTGTTGTGTTTGTGGTTCACTAGAACTAGAAACAGAGCATGAGGTAGAGAGAGGGTAAACTTGAACGGGGAATACTTTATTATGTATCCTCTCAGCTCCACATTCGGTCTTAGGCTGCCTCCCCAGCTCCTGCCTCCGGGTCGTCTGACCCACTCTCTTAAAGGGCAACACACACTACATAGATAACAGATGGATGTAAATACATTGGAGGTGGTTCAGAGGAGGTTTACTTGTTTGATACCTGGAATTAGCAGGTGAGGATATTAGGAAGATAGGTTGGACAGACTGAACCAATTACCACTGGAGTTTGGTAGAGTGAGGGATGACTTAAATGAACATAAGAACCTGAGTGGTCTTGACAAGGTGGATGCAGAAAGAATGTTTCCTGTAATGTGGTGATTAAAACCATACATAAATTCTCAGCTGTGATCTAGCCAATGATTTATGCAGTTCCTGTGTTATATCCCAGCTCTTATATTCAATACCTCACCCAATGAAGGAAAGCATCCCATATTTGTTCTTTACCACCTTATCTACTTGTCCTGCCCCCTTTAGGAACCTGTGGACATGCACTCCAAGGTCTCTCACTTTCTCTATCCCTTTCAATAACTTCCAATTTATTGTGTATTCCTTCGTATGTTTGCCTTCCGCAAATACACTACCTCACATTTCTCCAGATTGAATTCCATTTACCACTTTTCTGCCCACTCAACCAAACCATTGATATCTTCTTGCAGTCAACAGCTATGCTGTTCGCTTATCAACTACACAGTCAAATTTTGTGTGATCTGCAAATTTCTCAATCAATGCCTCCCACCTTTAAATCTAAACATTAATACATAACACAAACAGCAAGGGTATCAAAATTAAGCACTGGCAGATCACCACATCCTATTTGCAAAAACATCTATTTCCACACTCCCCACCAGCCCTACCACTCCCGGCACTTTTCCCTGCATCCGCAGGAAGTGCTATACCTGCCCCTACACCTCCCCCCTCACCCCCATCCCAGGCCCCAAGAAAACCTACCACATCAAACAGATGTTCACCTGCACATCTGGTAATGTGGTATACTGTATCCGCTGTTCCCGTTGTGGCCTCCTCTACATTGGAGAAATCAAGCGGAGGCTTGGAGACCGCTTTGTGGAACACCTACGCTCGGTTCGTGACAAACGACTGCACCTCCCAGTCGCGAACCACTTCAACTCCCCCTCCCACTCCTTGGAGGACATGTCCATCCTGGACCTCCTCCAATGCCACAATGATGCCACCTGAAGGTTGCAGGAACTGCACCTCATATTTTGCATGGTAACCCTGCAGCCCAATGGTATCAATGTGGACTTCACAAGCTCCCCCGACTGCATCCCAAAACCAGTTCAGCTCGTCCCTGCCTCCCTAACCCGTCCGTCCTTTCTCCCACCTATCCACTCCTCCTACCTCAACCCCCACCCCCACCTCCTACCTACCAACCTCATCCCGCCTCCTTGACCTGTCCGTCTTTCCTGGACTGACCAACCCCCACCCTAACTCCCCACCTACGCTCACCTTTACTGGCTCCATCCCCGCCTCTTTGACCTGTTGTCTCCTGTCCACCTATCTGTTCTTTTATCCTTCTTCCATCCGCCTCCCCCACTCTTTCTATTTATTTCAGAATCCCCTTTCACTCCCCCATTTCTGAAGAGGGGTCCAGACCCGAAACGTCAGCTTTCCTGCTTCTCTGATGCTGTTTGGCCTGCTGTGTTCATCCAGCTCTACACCTTGTTATCTCGCTCTCTCTATTGGCCATTACCCTTTGTTTCCCGTTACTGAGTCAATTTTGGAACCAGTTATGACTGATCCTGTTAGGTTTCTGACCAACGGTAACCCTCTCAGGAAGTTGATAGTGGGGATTCAATGATGGTAATGTCACTGACTATCAACAGGACATGATTTTATTCTTTCGTCTTTTAGATGAGCATTGCCTGAGAATTGTGTGGTATGAATGTTACCTATCAGCCCAAGCCTAAATGTTTTGCTGCATGCAGCCATGGATCAGTATCTTAGTCTTGAGTCATTATAGCAGAGGAGGAAGCCATTTGGCCCAGCAAGTCAATGCTAGCAGTCTGTTGAACAACCCATTCAATCCCATACTCTGTTAGTTTGTTTCTTTCAAATATCCATCCAATTTACTTTTCAAATTATGTCATCTTCACTTCCACACCCTCATGGGCAGTGTGCTCCAGGTTATTCCCATCCATTGCACAAGAAATTTTTTCCTTACAAAACAACTGCCAAGTATTACTTGCCCAAAATTATGAAGCTGTGTTCGTTAGTCCCTGTACCATCAGCTAATGGGAATAGCTCTTCTTTATCTACCTTATCTAAACCTGTCATAATCCTGTACACATCCATCACATTTCACCTTAATTATCTTTCTTTGAAGGACAACCTCAGCTGATCCAAAAGACCTCACAGAACCACAGAACCATTCTGTTAAATTTACTGTGTACATTCTCAAGGACCTTTTTAAAAATCTGGTGAACAAAACTGGATGGTAAACCCCACTTGTGGACCAACTGAAGTATAATAAAAGTTCAGCACAACTTCCCTATTTCTGTGTTCAGTACCCTTTTTTAAAAGCCTAACATTCCACATGCAGTACGAACTACTCTGCCCATTTGATTTTTTACTTGCAAAGCTCAATGCACTGCTGCTGCACAATTCTTAAGAATAATTCCACTAAAGCATATGTTGTACAGTTCTATCCTGCTGCCAAATACAACACCTAACACGTTTCTGTTTAAACTTCTACCTTCTACTTGTCTTCCAAATCTGTTAGCCGATCTACACCCTGTCACAGTAGATCGGTGTCATTCTCACTTTTGTCACACCTTCAAATTTGTACCATCAGCAAATGTTGAAACTTTATTCCAACATCAAATTCAAAACAACAGCGGTGACCATAATTAATGCTAGGGAACACCACTGTTTTTCAGACTGGAGGATGGTAAATAATCATTTATTATAACTCTTGTGTTTTTGGTCATACAGCACGGAAAAAGACCCTTCGGTCCAACTGGTCCATGCCGACCAGGTTTCCCAAAATAAACTAGTCCCATTTGCCTGCATTTGGCCCATATCCCTCTAAACCTTTCCTATTCATGTACCTGTCCAAATGTCTTTTGAATGTTGTAATTGTACCTGCATCTACCACTTCCTCTGGCAGTTCATTCCTTACATGAATCACCTTATGTGGGAAAAATGTTGCCCCTCAAGCCCCTATTAAATCTTTCGCCTCTCACCTTAAAATTATGCCCTCTGGATAGATTCCCCCACCTTAAGGAAAAGACCTTTGCTATTTACCTTATCTATGCCCTTCATGATTTTATAAACCTCTTTAAGGTCACCCGTCAACCTCTGACGCTCAAACTTATCCAGCCTCTCCTTATAACTCAAACCCTCCAGTGTAGGTAACATCCTTGTAAATCTTTTCTGCACCCTCTCCAATTTAATAATATTCTTCCGAAAGCAGGGCGACCGGAACTGTATGCAGTACTCCAAAAGTGACCTCACCAATATCCTGTACAGCCACAAATATGACATCCCAACTCCGATACACAATGCTCCGATCAATGAAGGCAAGCGTTCCAAGTGCCTTCTTCACTACCCTGACTACCTGTGACGCCTCTTTCAAGGAACTATGTGCCTGAACCCCTGGATCTCTCTGTTTGACAACACTTCCCTGGGCCTTACTATTAATTGTGTAAATCCTGCCCTGATTTGCCTTCCAAAAGCAACGCCTCATATTTATCTAAACTCCATCTACCAGTCCTCAGTCCATTGGCCCAAATGGTCAAGATCCCACTGTACTCTTAGATAACCTTCTTCACTGTCCACTATACCACCAATTTTGGTGTTATCCACAAATTTACTTACTATGCTTCCTGTATTTGCATCCAAATCATTTAAATAAATGACAAATACACCCTCACCCCTCCCTGAACCTCCAGACTCCTTTCACTTTGCAGTTCCCTGACCACCCCATTTGTGTGGGAACCCAACACATTGAATTTTGCTTCCAACTATCCTCCTTGCTCCTGAATACCAACATTACACTTTAATGATGCCCGCCTTGCTCCTCTACACTCTCCCTGTGGAGACTACAGTGGTGGTCATTGCCAATAACCCCTCACATAGCCTACCATGTCCCTGATCTGTTCTGCATAACCCTCTTGCACCTTGACATCCCAACCCCCCATTTCACCGTCCTTATTCCCACCTCCACAAATCCCTCTTATTTCCCCTCAGGTCTTGATTCTTCCACCCCTTTTGGCAAATAACACCCCACTGCTGCCACTACACTATGCCCTTGCACCGTCCTTAATGATCGACTCATTGATAATGATAACAATGTTAACTCTGATTTCTCTTCACAGATGCTGCCAGACCTGCTGAGCTTTTCCAACAATTTCTGTTTTTGGTTTTGGTTCAATTGAATCTCTTAATCAATCTAAAGTGTGTAGGGGCGTTCTTAAAAAAGAAATCAGGAAGGGAAAGAGGGGATATGAGATAGCATTGACAGATAAGGTTAAGGATAATCCAAAGACATTCTACAAATACATTACGAGCAAGAGGGTAACTAGGGAGATGGTAGGGACTCTTAAATATCAAGGAGGAAGTAAGGAAAGAAATTGTGTGACCTTTGAGTAAGAAAGGTTGTAAAGACAGGCAGAAATTGATTAGCGATAGCATGGTTTTGTGCAAGGAAAATCTTGTCTTCCAAACCGATTGAGTTTTTTGAGGAAGTTACCAAAAAAATTGATGATGGCAGTGCAGCAGACATTGTTTATTTGGATTTTTGTAAAGCCTTTGATGAGGTTCTGCATGGTAGACTAATTAGTAAAGTTAGGTCACATGGGATTCAGGGTGAGCTTGCCAATTGAATGCTCAATTGGCTATTGCTTAACGTCAGGAGAAAGAGAGTAATAGTGAAGAGTTGCTTTTGGGACTGGAGGCCTACGACCAATGGTGTTCCACACGGATTGGTTCTGAGTCCTCTTTTGTTTGTGATTTGTACAAATGATTTTAATGAGAATATAGAAGGTATGGTTAGTAAGTTTACAAATGACACCAAAATCAGTGACATAGTAGACAGAGAAGAAGGTTTTCTAAGATTACAAAGGGATTTTGATCAAATGGGTCAATAGACTGAAAAATGACAGATGGAATTCAATATGAATAAATGTGAGGTATTGGATTTTGGTACAACAAACAAGGGGAGGGCTTATACAATTAATGGTAGGGCCTGGGATAGTGTTGTAGAACTGAGGGATGTAGGGGTGCAGGTACATCATTCTTTGACGATTGTGTCATATATAGACAGGGTGGTTAAAAAGGCATTTGGCACGCTTGCCTTCATTGCTCAGTCCTTTGAATATACGAGTTAGGAAGTAATGTTGAGGTAGTACAGGACATTGGTGAAGCCTCTTCTGGAATACTGTGTCCAGTTCTGGTCACCCAGTTATGGGAAGGATATTATCACCTGAAGAGGATTCAGAAGAGATTTACCAGGATGTTACAAAAACAGAAGGTGCTGGAAAAGCTCAGCAGGTCTGGGAGAATTTGTGAAGAAAAAATCAGAGTTAACGTTTCCGGTCCAGTGACACTTCCTCAGAACTGTTTCTGTTTTTGTTCCTGATTTACAGCATCCGCAGTTCTCAGTTTTTACCAGCTTGTTGCCAGGTATGAAGGATTTGAGTTATAGAAAGTCTGGATAGGCTGGGACTTTTTCCACTGAAGCATAGGAGGTTGAGAGGTGACCTGATAGAAGTTTATAAAATAATGAGAGGTATAAGTTAATGGTAGTTGTCTTATTCCTAGGATAGGGAATTTCAAGACTAGGAGACACAATTTTAAGGTGAGACAAGAGAGATTCAAAAAAGACATGAGAAGCAAATTTTTTTACACAAAGGGTGGTTCGCGTGTGGAATGAACTTCCTGAGTAAGTGGTGAATGCGTGTACAATTACAATGTATAAAAGACATTGGATAGATACGTGAATAGAAAAGGTTTGGAGGAATATGGGCCAGGAGTAGGCAGGTGGGACTAGTTTAGTTTGGGATTATGGTTGGCACGGACTGGTTAAACTGAAGTGTCTGTTTCTGTGCTGTGTGGCTCTATGACTTGGGAAAAGCATAAACACTGGAACGAGTTGCTCCTGACAGTCTCTTGTTCATTTGTGTCACAAATTCCACCTTCGCCCACAGTCACTCATTCTCCTCTAAGATTCTGCCTGACATTTCAAATGCACTTCATTGGCTGTAAAATGCTTTGAGGTATCCAAAGATCACGTAAGGTGTGTTAAATAAATGTAAGTTTTATTTTCTTTCAAACAACACCTTTAAAGCAGGGTTGCTATTAACTGAATTAGAGATGACTTGCAGTTTTTTTGTATCCCCACCTATAGCACATTAGCACATTCACCATCTATCAGCAGTGTTCCTACATCAGCCAGGAACTGAGGAGCAGAACAGATTAGAAATGGGAGCAGTGTTTAGATCTTGCTCAGAGGATTTGCACGTGTAATGTGTGATGCCTCCACAGCTAATAGCTGTTCAGACCCATGAGTAAAGATAGGGCTCTCAGGCAAGGTCCTTGAAAGAAGGGACAGCAATGGAACTATCTCCATGGCAACTCTCAGAAGGACAATTTAAAATAAAAAGAGCTTCCAATTTTTTTAAAAAAAGATTTCACTTACTTGTAACCCTGTGTAATTACGGTACGATTTATGTTGCTAACATTGTTTTGACAATTGTTCTTGTCAAAGACGAAAAATAGTCCAGATTACACTGCAGACAGATACAAGAACAGTGAAAAGATCCATGATTGGAAACAAGACACTTAGTGACAAGAGAGATCTGGGACTGCTGGACCATTGTATTTTTTTAAAATCGAAATTCCAATTCCATGAACCTAATCTTTCATATACGTTGTCAAATGTCTTAAAATCCATATTCACAATATCCACTGCATTCCCTTCATTCATTGTTATTTCATCAAAAAAATTCAATTATGTTAGTCAAACAAAATTTGACATTAACAAAATAGGTCTTTGGAGACATGGACTACATTGAACAGTTTGCTGATAGTCCCTGTGGATCCTCCAGCTGCATTGATGATGCAGTTGAAGTCTCTGGCCAGAATGACTGGCTGGGAGATAGTAGGAACTGCAGATGCTGGAGAATCTGAGATAACAAGGTGTAGAGCTGGATGAACACAGCAGGCCAAGCAGCATCAGAGGAGCAGGAAGGCTGACGTTTTGGGCCTAGACCCTTCTTCAGAATGGGGGAGGGGAAGAGGGATTCTGAAATAAATAGGGAGAGAGGGGGAGACGGATAGAAGATGGATAAAGAAGGGGAGTTAGGGAGGGGATAGGTCAGTCCAGGGAGGACGGACGGATTTTGAAGCTTCTTCAAAATCTCCCCTCCCTCAACTGCATCCCAAAACCAGCCCAGCTTGTCCCCACCCCCGTAACCTGTCCTTCCTCCCACCTCTCTCCTCCTCCCACCTCAAGCCCTACCCCATCTCCTAACCACTAGCCTCATCCCACCCCCTTGACCTATCCCCTCCCTAACTCCCCACCTACACTCACCTTTACTGGCTCCAACCACACCTCCTTGACCAGTCTGTCTCCTCTCCACCTATCTTCTCCTTTATCCATCTTCTATCCGCCTCCCCCTCTCTCCCTATTTATTTCAGAATCCCCTTTCCCTCCCCCATTTCTGAAGAAGGGTCTCAACCCGAAACGTCAGCTTTCCTGCTCCTCTGATGCTGCTTGGCCTGCTGTGTTCATCCAGCTCTACACCTTGTTATCTCAATGATGGTAGCCAGGACTCAATTACACGCATGCGCACATTGTGCTGAGTGCCGGTTTCCGGCCTGTCAATTTCTCCCGGCCGAAAGCTCGGCCCTTTAATTAAAGGACCCTCGCCCTGGGCAGTGCCCGGAAGGCTCCATGGCCCTCTCCCCGGACGGTACCGGCCCCGGACCCTCCACCGCCCCTCGGCTTTCCAAAACAGCCCTCACCATTTCCCATACCTCCCGCTTCGCCAGTCTGCACCGTCCGGGTCCCTATCTCCTTACCGTGAGCTGCCCAGCCCCACCCGCGACTTTCCTAGCGGCACCGCTGCCTCCTGCCGCCGCCGGAACGAGAACCTCTCGCGGTAAGACGTTTGAAAATGGCGCGCACCTAGTCCACACTGAGCCGAGCCGCCCGATACCACCCCCAGCGGGGCCAGGGGGAACAGCACCGAGACCGCGCGCCACACCACCACCCAGCGGGGCCAGGGGGAACAGCACCGAGACCGCGCTCCACACCACCACCCAGCGGGGCCAG